AGCAGGGAGCCCGATGCGGGGCTCGATCCCAGGACTCTGGGATCATGACCTGAGCCGAAGGCAGACGCTTAACGACTGAGCCACCCAGGCGCCCCTGTATCGTGTTTTAGAAGATGTGTGGTTTTCTACCTTAGGAATGTGCCATCCTTTATTCCACTCATCCCCAATTGTTAGACATGTGCTTGTTTTCAAATATATGCTACTATAGATGCTACTAATTGTAGAGAGTTTTTTTTAAAGAATTCTTGCTCATTCCTTTAAGATAAATTCCTTAGTGTAAAATTATTGAGTCTAAAGCTATGAACATTTTTAAGCCCAAATGGGCCTCTAATAAGATCACAACCGTTTACACTCCACCAGCAGTGCATGAGAATGAAAACTCCATGGACATTTCTGAAATTACATTTCAGGGGCTCCCTTATAAGGCGTTATAGGGTGATTCCAGTTAGCGCCAGTGGTGGTTTATTTCAACATGGTGACAGTATTAAAGGTGTTGTCTGTCGTACCGGATGCTTTGACTGTTCCTTTCAGCGGTTGCACTTTCTCACTTCTTGCTCTGGGAAGCCCATGGAAACCCCAGAAAGGGCTCTGTTTCGTGAAGTTTATTTCAAAGTGTGGTGTTTTCATGAAGAGAATTGCAGTGCTTTTCAAACTTTATTGTGCAAATGAATCATCAGAGGCTCTTGTGAAAATGCTGGTCTAAAGTGGGGCCTGAGATTCAATGTTTCTAACTTCCAGGTTAAGCTGATGTTGCTGGTCTGTGGACCACACTGAGTAGCAAGCGTTTAGGAAACCATGACCCCTTAACAGAGCATAGGCCTGAAATCGTGAAAGGGTCTCTGACTTTTCAGTTGATTTTTTTTTTTTTTTTAATTATCAACCATCTCTTTTAAGATACAAGGATATCTTCCCCTGGTTGAGGAAGAAAAGAATGAACTTTCCTGAAAGAGTCCCTTCCCAGTGTAAGGCAGTACATGGTGATAAGTGATACCGATAACAGATGTAACGGAAATTTCAAGGGTAGATGGATCAGTGAAGTGGTCATTGAAGGCTTGAGGAAGGAGATGGAACTTGACATATGTTAAAAAACATTGTTGACAGATTTAAAGGATGCTCCTAATTCTACTCTCTGCCAGCTGACCTTGCTGAGCTAGCACCTGCTTCAGCTCTCTCAACATTACTGCTTCAGTTGCCTTAGAAATATTAATACTTTAGATCAGGTTTACATTAATCAAGTCCTAATAGACCTTCTCCAGAATCTTTGAGAGTCTAGGGTCCTTCAACCATTTGCTATTTAGAAGAAAAAAGAATTACTCAGAAAGTTGCCTTAAAAATGTTTTTAGGCAGGGACACCTGGGTGGCTCAGTCGGTTAAGTGTCTACCTTCGACTCAGGTCATGATCCGACAGTCCTGGGATCGAGTCCTGCATCGGGCTCCTTGTTCAGCAGGGGGCCTGCTTCTTCCTCTATCTCCTGCTCCCCCTGGTTGTGCTTTGTCTCTCTCTCTCTCTTTCTCTGACAAATAAATTAATAAAATCTTAAAAAAAGATTTTTTTTAATTAAAAAAATGTTTTTGGGCAGATGATGTTCATTTTAAATTTAAAAGCACAATGAAGTAATTTTTCAGGAGCTTTTCTCTGTTTCTGTCCCGTGTTTCTTACCATTTTTTTTCTTTATTAGGGTCATGAAAAATGTGCCTTGTTAATACTTGACAAGATACAAGACGAGAGCCTTATTAATGCAAAAAATAATGCACTGCAGACGTAAGTGTGACTTCTGAAGTTTGATTTGGACCCAGATTCATAGTCATTTATTCAACAAATTCTAAGAGTGTGCTATGCACTGGAGAATACAGTAGTGAAAGACACAGACCTGCCTTCTCCTTCACGAAGTTTATAGTCACATACCTACAGATGCTGACCGAGCTAACCACTTTTAGTTAGAATCTTTATTTTGTTATGCCGTCATACAATTTTGTAATATAATATTAGCATTATGTATTCTTACTGGAAAATGACAGCTTTATAAATCACATTCCCAGAATATGTTTGAAGAGTTTCTAAGCAGTTTGTCTTAATTATATTTTAATATAATTCAGTGTAATCTTCAGCGTGAAAGACCTAAAAGCTGATTTGTTTTCCATTTTAGTAAATTACCTATGCATTTAAGGACAAAGGAATATTAGGATTTTTTTTCCGTCAAGTTTCTTAAGAAATATATAGCAGAAATGAATATACTGGGTTTGACATTTAAGGTATTCTAAATTCAACAAAATATCATTTAGTGCATTTAGTAATAACAAGGAGGTTCAAGACAAATATATATGGGTGATATTAACACCAATCATGTTGATGGACTGTGTGAAACAGTGATTCAAATGCTGGAATAGAAAGCAAGGGGTAAAGAGCCTTCTAGAAAACACACTGAGCTTACGTTCTTTTTCTCACTTCCTATCTGTTGTCATTGAGGTTGTTTGAGATGCAGAATATTTGTCATATCTGTAGAGAAATCTGGGCCAACATGGAAGAACAGTTGGATCATTAGCACCTGGAAAAGATCTGGTCAACAAATATTTTTATTAAAAGAATATAAAAATATTCATGTACTCCTTATAGATTCTTAAGTATTTCCTTCCTTTTAGCAGTGCAGCTCCCCCAGATGACACATTCCTCACACAAATATGTATCATGGTTGACGCTGGGTGTTGTCTTCTTTCAGACCCCTCCATGTTGCTGCACGAAATGGCTTGAAGGTGGTAGTTGAGGAGTTGTTGGCCAAAGGGGCCTGTGTACTTGCTGTGGATGAAAATGGTAAGTGGAAAAACTAGGCAATTACTGCAGGTACCTCCCCTGTGCTCTGAAGCCAGAGGAAAATGAGAATGATAGGAGCTCAGTAAAAAGGCAGTAAGAATTCTCTCCCCCTTGGAAGTTTCTGTGTGTGCAAAATCAAATGGGGGATAATTTGTCCTGTCTGTCTTTGTAAAACATAGTCCACCTGTAGCCCACCAGTGCCTTCCATTCTGCATGTTACGCCAGCAGCTGGTCTCTAACTCTGCAGCGTGGTGGCTCAGCTGCTTCAGACACACTGAAAAGTTGGCAGACAGGCATTCAGAATTCGAACTGCATTCGCTGAAGAGTTAGAGACTATACATGTCATTAGTGCATGCTCAAGGGCTCAAAGAAAACCTAGGTCTTTGTATTTCAGTTCATTCTGAGATCAAACCTTTTTTTTTTTTTTTTTTTTTTTTAAAGAAGGGATCAAAACTCATATTCTCAGTATGGATATTTGGGGAACATGAGTACAATTTTTTAATGACTTTCTAGGCTTGAAAGCTTCTCCTGATCTATGTAACCTTCCTTTTCTAAATGAACTAACTCTGAACAGAAGCTTTCTACTCTGCTTCCGAAGAAATTTGGAAAGCTAATGAATAACAGAATTGTGTGAAACTACCATTTTAAGCACAATGCCTATTAACTGTGGGGAGCAAAAGATGAACTTCTGGATATTTATGAATGGTGTAATTTTTTAAATGTGGCATTAATTGTGGCATTTAATTAAAGTATCATTAACTTAACTCAATTAACTGCTTATTACAGGTATTGGAACTAGCAGCCCATGCCTATTTCTCAGAAGTAAGCATTAGCCATATGACATCATTAGCTAATTCCTATTAGTTTTTGTTTTGCAGCCCCGTTTATCCTAGCATGTACCCCACTCTGTCCCCAACCCGACTCATCTAGGAGGCACAGAAAGTTCTGTTACCTCATCTCCTTGGTTGTCCCTCCTCTCCTTCCCTCACCCTCTTATGGCTATTATATATCTTAGGGTTGGCATGCAGAAGTGCACAATTTTTCTTCAAAATGACCCAAAGAGCTCAAAATAAATTAGTTTTGTCTTTCTCCATTGTAAGCCTGCTGCATCCGAGGCTTTTCCTGCCAATAGCAACCCCGGGAAGGAGAGCCCTGGGTCAGTGGAACTGAGGCCTTTCTGAGAGCTCAGCTGTATCCCAAAGGCCTGGGAACAATTTGGGGCAGTTTTGTACAGCACTACACTCATAAATCCTTTACTCGTCAATGACCTCTGTGGCATGGAATGTTAAGATACCTGTCTATTCTTACTTGTTTTTGTACTAGAGAGAGGCGTGATCTGTTGGGGTGGGGGAGGGGCAGAAACTAGGCCAAGTGTTGATAGAACTTGACAAAATGTTGAGTTTTATTGAGCCACTTCCTCTGAATAAATGAGTGAGAGGTAGTAGGAACTTTGCCAGCAGAGGAGCTAGGCTAACCCTTTCAGGTCAGTAGAATAAAGGTTGGATAAGAGTAGTAATTAAGTCGAAGAATGTATCTACGTCCCCCTGCACATGTTTCATGTGTCAAGACAGTTTTCTCTTTTGGATAGGACCCATCGAGTCTAAATGGTAGAGAATGACAGGACTGTACAGCCATTTTCCCATACCTGTCATAGTTGGACTTTGGGACTTCGGTTGGTTGGTGTGCTATTTTTAAAAATTCTGTTAAATTTCACTTAAATGATAGTAAATTTTAAATCACAAACAATCAGTGCTTTCCTGTCTGATCTGCTCAAATGATTCCATTTTCCTAGAACAAGTTAATTGGTATATACTTTATATAAACATATGTAAAGCAACAAAACTGCGTTAGTCACATCTACAGACATCTGATTTTCGACATCTTTTCTAATCTGACACACAGTTACCTACTATGGAAAGTCATTGTTCTCAGAATGAGAGTGCTCTGGCCCAAGCCTGAGGCGCATGGTGTGCGTGTGCTCTCAAGTGGAAACACCTTTGTGGTTGTCCTGTTGCTGGGTTGTTTTTGTTTTTGTTTTTGTTTTGTGGAATTGTGTCCCACCCCTGCCCCCTTGTGTTTCTGTTTATTAGATGAAGACTAGAATTCTCCTAACTTTGGATAACATAGTGCTTGTTGTCATGTAAACTGAAAAACCAAAACCAAAACCCCTTCATAAAATGTCTCCCCCTCCCAGTTCCCTCTTGCCTGACCCCTAGCATGACTTGTGGGAAGTAACTCCTGTTTTTGCCTGGCATGATTTCTAACTCAACATACATCTCCGCGTGTAAGGTTGTATGAGATGTACTGTGGAATGCTCACGCCGCCTTTGGATTTCCTGGACTAACCACTGCCTTGTCTGCATTTACGCCCAGGTCATACCCCGGCCCTGGCTTGCGCTCCTAACAAAGACGTGGCTGACTGCCTGGCCCTCATTTTGGCTACCATGATGCCTTTTTCTCCTTCCAGTACAATGACGGCTGTCAACTTCGTTTGTTTTAAAAAAGACAATTTGAGCAGGACGACCCTCTCCAATCTGGGTAGCATGGTCAGCCTGTGCAGTAACAACATAGGCTCAGAGGATGGGTACAATGAAAATGACTCTGATTCCGAAACGTTTTGACTTTGGACTGTAGCAGCTTTTCCTTGATCACCCATATTGGAAGAAGGGAAAGAAACGTGAATTCCAGGTTTATGTTGTGTTCGAGTATTATTATGGGCCTGGGCTTCCAGAAGCCAGTAGAAAAGGAATTAACCAAACCCAGGGAGGGCAACTAGACTGTAGGGCAAGGCACTCACATAGATGGGCCCTGATTTTTGTTTTCATGTTTTCCTTAGATCTAAGATACTTCTGTGCAAGTCTACCTCTCATTTTAAGTAAGAAGTAAAAAAATGCATTTGATTCTTTTTCTTTTGGCATGATGCAATTGAGAGGGAGCTGTTCTCTAGAATTTTTTTTTCATTTACTCACTCAGCAGTGAGTTCTCAGAAGTATATCCATGTGACATTCATGTCCCCTGGGAGGGGAGGGAAAGGGTGGATAGGAATTGCCTCAAACCTCTTCTCACTTTGATGTTTACTTCCTCACTAAAAGCCAAAGGTAAAGGTGTTCATCTTCAGAAATGATGCCTGTAATAATCTTTTTAAGGGAGTCCAATTATGCATATCCTCTCTATAGTAAGCACTTAAATATCCAGAACTTCTTTCCAAGGATTTTTATGGAAGTTGCCAGATGAATGGAAAAATTCACTAAAAATTGAAGTTGCTTTTTTTCATTTAACACAAATACGGCCCCCAGTACTCCCTGTAACAAGCCTGTGGCTAATTTTTCACCTGGCTGATTGAATCCAAATCTATCTAATAACGTTTTAGGTGAAAAGTTGTATTGCACCAGAACTTTGAGACATATGCAAATTTAATATGAGACCACCCTTTATTTATTTATTTGTTAATCCTCAAATCAGAATGCTAACTTTTTAAAAACATCAGAACCATCAGCATTGTTCATCAGTAGTAAAGTGTTGAATGAGCTTCTCAGTCAAGGTCATGCCAAGTGAGGGAAGTGTGATGACAAAAGGAAACAAGGTGCAAAGCAGAAGGTAGAAATGGGTGATGTGGAAATTAAAGCCAATTGATAGTCACTTGATGATCAACTCAACTTAGTGAATACTGTGTCTACTCCCTCTGCCAAAGCTTCTAGGTCAAATGGACCCCGTTCTGCACCTGGAATAGCTGTACAAAAAGAAGAATGAGACTCTTTAAACATTATGCACATACATACACACACATATGTATATTTATATATATATATATGGCTGTAGTTCATCAACCAGCTGTACATGAGGACCAAAATGCTTCAGTCTGGAATGGAAGAATTTAAATTGCTTTCCTTCAAAATGGAAGTGAGAACTGAAGTAGCTTTTCTATGGAGTTAAAATGTAATCTTTTTGTGTAACAGTCTTTGTTGTGTTTTATATTTCTTATGACACAGATTTCTAGTTGATGGCTTAACATTTGTACCATGACATGTTGACCAAGACTTATTTTGTTGCCAAACTAGAGAAAATGTTCATATACTTTTGATGTAAATGTGTTTATATTTATTTGAAATGAAACAAAGGCCGAGGAAACATCCATTGTTTGTTCTCTGTTTTAAGTGATGTGTGTCTTACTTGGAATAACACAAAAGCAGAAAAGCACGCAGGACCCTCACCGGGCTAGCTGGCCGTCCCGGGGCCAAGCCCAGCATTTCCACTGCTAAGGTTTCCAGCTGACCCTCAGGTTCTTCCACGTCTCTTGGAGAGGTGTACAACATCCCTTTCTCAGCCCCGGTCTGTAGCCAGCCTGGACAGCTTAGGGGACACTGCCGTCCTTATGCTCTTCTGCAAGATGAGAACTGAGGTGTGTGGTGGGTCATATGCACAAAGGTGGCCCAAAGAAATTTACAGAAATTACAGAATTTACTCTGACGGTCTGTAGCCAGCCTGGAGAGCTCAGGGGACACCGCCGTCCTTATGCTCTTCTGCAAGATGAGAACTGAGGTGTGTGGTGGGTCATATGCACAAAGGTGGCCCAAAGAAATTACAGAAATTATTCTGAACACACTGAAAAGCTCATGGTCCCAGTAACCTAGTGGGAAATGATGTCAGTGTGTGAGCACATGTACCAGGAGAGGAAATAGAAATCACCAGCTCAAGTGCTGTTTTCCACTTGAGGAAGAAACAGGAGAGAAACATGTTGTCAGGACTCTGGCATTTTATAATCAGCTACATTTTCAACCCTGGAAATTTCTATTTTATAGTGTATGTGAGATATTTTTAAAACAGTGTTCTATCATATCTGGATCAAATACACATGCTGTATTATCTTTTTCATCTAACTGTAAAAGACTTTAATCTTACTCTTTTAATATCCTGATTTAATTAAAAACTCACGTTGGGTTCTTTACAAATGAGAACTTGTTCAAAGGACTTAGAGAATTGGTAATAATTTCACTGGAAATTTTCGACACCACCAACATTGCTTTTTTAAATTCTTGGTGTTGTGTTCCCCTTCCTTCCTCTGTCCTTTTTGTTTATTTAGAGAAGATGAATTTTTAAAAAGTAGATAAATTGCTAATGAGCAATAACGACCTTATCTTTACCAAAACACTGAAAAGCAAGGGAGATCCAGCGCTAAAAAAGCACGATATACTGTGGTGTCTTTTTCTAGAAGTGAATGGAAATCTTGCTCCACTGGCATGTAAAGCAGGAAATGAAATGTCCTCTTGTAATGGTGAAGCAGCGTTCGCATTTTTCCTGTAGAGTAGCACAGAGAACAAGGAAGGTGACAGCAAAGCAGTGCTGGCCATGGGACATTTCTCTCCACATAGCTGCATTTTGACTTTCCCCCACCGTCTCCCTGATAGAAAGGAGGAGGACAAAGGAACAAAATGAAATCACACTCGCTGTGAATTGTTCATGAAATCAAATCTCTCTCCCACTCTCTCGCTGTTTCTCCATTCCCCAAGACCAGATTTTTTTCTTTAGGAAATGACTTCAAAAACTATGAGTTCTGTGTGTTTTAAGTACATCTCTTAGAAATAGAACTAGATTTGCAATGTAGCTTTCTAAGCAAAAAAACAAGCAACAAACAAAAAACATTGTGCTTTCAACTGAGTCTTGATTGTTTAGTGCTTTTACCTGTGTTATTTTTAGACTGTATTCTAACCATAGCCACAGGGATCATGTTTCATCACACTTACCTATTCGCCGTGTCTGCCTATCCTTGGTAAATACATTACTATCTCCAAATTGCCTAAAATCTGCTATGATTCTACAGTAAAAAGCTCAGGGGATTTCTATTTATCACTACTACAAGGGCACCATAGTATGTTTTGGTACTTTAGGCAGTAAACAGCTGCTTGATTTTTTTTTTATTTTATTATGAAATTAGAAAAAGAACATCAAATGGATTTGCTGCACTGTTCTTTGTACTGTTGAGCAACCTGGTTTGCTTATCTGTTGCGTTGGTTGAAGAACTCATCCCTTTATTTGTCTTGTAATATGAAGTTAGAGTGCCTTTTTATATTTGTATATTCTGAAGATGTTCTGTGAAATGTTTTGTATTTTTTTCATTTGAGTGTTATCAGAGCAATATAATACCAGTGAGTTTTCATTTCAGCCTTTCTTTGAATGTATAAAGTGTCTTTTTTCCTATTTCGCCTTTACCTGCTTTGAAATGAAAATGAAAATGCCGAAGTTTTCTATAGGAATTATGTTTAATTTTGCAGTGCTAAAATGCTTTCTTCTTACAAAACTGTAAACCATAGGTCAATGTTATAGGGGAAAAGCGTTTTAAGATAGTGACAATCTGAGTGTGTGTAAAAATGTAATTCTATGCGTTTCTTATGCAGTGATCTAAAAATTCAATGCAAATACCTTTTGTTTGGTAGTTTTGTCTACATATTTTATGCTTTAGCATGTGCAATATATCTTTGCAAAGCACGATGATACAAATCTGGTGCCAGTGTTATATTTTGCATAACATATTTGTAACAGCATAAAATACTGTTTGATGCTTTCAGTGGGATTTTGTCTGTGATGTTTTCTTATGTAAATTGGAGTTGAATGACTCTGGTAAATGTCATGACTGTAAAAATGAGGAAAATGACTTTTAGTTCGGTGAATGACTTTGAACCAATCTGAATCTTTTCAAGCACAGTTTAATACTTTTTCAACTACTGAATGCTAATTATGTAATGAAGTACTTAACTGTAATATACTATGGAAATGCATTCAGATGGTTATTTTTACAAATAAAAACGGTACAAATATTGTTGCAATTTGTGTTTGTCTTTAATTTTTCTGATTTACGCTATTTTACCGGTTATTCTGCTAATTTAAATCTTTTTCCCCACCAAAGTCAAATTGACCTTACATTAATACTCAAGATAGAAGAATATTTCCAGATTTGCTCTTTCTGTTTGTAACATCACAATTGGGGAGGGGTGAGTCAAACATGTATGTTTGTGTATGTTATATTTATTAATGCCTCCAATTTTTTCTGGAAAGATTTGAGCTGGCCTGCAACAGAGGGCACATGATAAACTAGAAGTAGAAAAATGAGGACAGGGAAAAAGAATACAAATATGGGAACCCTAACATTTAATAGAGTGGCTATGGCTGAACGTGAGTTTGCTTCAGCTCCCTTGTAATCACGGTGAGAGGGGAGACGTGGCTTACTGTGGAGATCACGTATATCAGAAAGGAGGAAGCCCACCAGGTCCTCAAAATGGTGGAATCAACAACACTTCTTTTTGTGGCTGCCAGCAAGACCCTTCAACTGCTTCATAACAATGCAAGGCGCCACCTCTCTGCACTATTCTTACAAGTATCTGTAGAATTTCCTCTGTCTCACCATTCACAATTTCTCCCCTTAAGTAATAATTTCAGGGACAGTCCCTAGAAACATTAAGGAACAAATTCTCAGTGACACTCTTTCCAGCTTTTGGGGTGGGGCCCTCTGGAGTTCCTCAAAGCACAGTGTCGTAGAATGCTAGCAGTTCTTGCTAAGTCTAGCCAACCCCATCACCATCTTCTTCATGAAGGGACGGAATCCCAGCGAAATTATATAATTTGCTCAAATGTGTATAATTGACAATCTCAATGCACAACCTGTGCCTATACGTTCTTTCTTTTATGCCATCCTGGCAATAATGTTTTGCGGTTGTTGGGGTTTTTTCCTGCTAGAGATGTTCAGAGAGGTTTTGCACTTTGCAGAATCTCACTCCTTATTCAAATATACAGATGTGAGTGCTTTTCATTCTTGAAGACTGTAAAGCATGAATCATACCACAGGTGGGTGCTTCTGGTAGTTTAGAGCTGAGGGGTTACATTAGTTATCCAACATCATGTAACAAATTACCCCCAAACTTAGTGGCTTAAAACAACAAATGTTTATTATCTCACAGTTCCTGAGAGTCTGGAGTCCAGGCATGGTTGAGTTGGGTCTTCTGCCACAGGGTCCCTCATGGGCTGTAATCCTGGTGTTGGCCAGGGAAAGATCCATTTCTAAGCTCACTCATATGGTTGTTGGCAGATTCTTCATGGGTTGTTGGACTGAGGGCTCTAGTTCCTTGACAGCTTTTAGCTGCCTTCACTTCCATGCCAAATGGGCCATTCCAAAAAAGGGCAGCTCACAACATGGCAGCTTACCTCATGAGAGCTAGCAAGCTGAGAAAAGCCAGAAAGAGAAAGTGCAAGACAGACGTGACAGCTTTTAAACTGAATACTGAAGTGCCATTCCATCATTTTTCCCATACTTTATTCATAAGAAGCAAGTCACTAGATTTGTTCCATATTCAAGGGAAGGGTTATTACCAAAGGGTGTGACGACCAGGAGGCAGGAATCACTGGGAACTATTTGGGAAGCAGTTTATCACACCAGATCTATCACAGTGTCCTTCCAGAGTATAGCATTCTCCTGGGATAACTTCTTGCTTGCTTCTTTCCTTGCGAAGGCAATTGTTTACTTTACCTTTTTGTTTACTGTACTTCCTAAATTCAAGAAAAATGTAGGGATCCCTTCATTTCACTTGTGCTCTCACAAGCAAGCAGGAAGAGGATAATGGCCTCCAATGCAGTAGTTCTGTTGTTGAATGTTGGTGTGGGTACTTTGTCTCCAAACTGCTTTTCAAAGGATTCTTCTCTCTAATTCCATTCAGTAGGTTTAGATCCCCATACGTCTATCCTTCACTTAACACACTTCATGTGTTCCAGAATCAGCTTGCAAGGCATAAAGGCATTAAGCTAAAAGGCTATTAACATAACATAAAAATATTGTGGGTAAAAGTGCTAAGTGAATTGTCTCTAGCAAATTTCATGCTAAAGAGACATTTGCTGTAAAATATGAAGCAGCAAAGATAATGGCTGTGCCATTCATTAATTTTTGAGCACTCCAGGGGGTGATTGGAAACGTAAGCCTTTGCAACTGGCTCAGTGACTGGTGGGTGGGAGGGTTTGCTACTAGCATTTACTGTACTAGCATCTACTAGGCCAGGGATACCCGATGTCCCACCAAGGCCAGCGTAGGACTACCCCACCCTCAATGCCCATGCGCCCCCACCTCACTGCTCATCTGCCTCCTCACCTCTTGTTTCTGAATCATTTTTCCATCAATTAATTATTGTGAAGCTAGCCATATTTTTACATCTATTTTCACAGGAATTGCATAAACAGGCTCTAAGCTTAAAAAGAATTTCAGAAGCAGTGACCAAGAACGATCCCTGATTGTTTGTTTTTCCAGAAAAGATCACACGCAGGTGAGTGGAAAAGGGAAAACTACTGCACAGATTTGAGACAAAGATTTAATTATTTTGTTATTAAACACACAAATGCACATATGCAGATGTACATTCCTTGTCTTACCAGGGGATGATTGTGTCTACTTCATGGGGGGGGGGGGCGGACCCTGTTCACAAAGATGGGGCACTTGGCCCACAGTCACATAGCAAGATCTGGCAACAAAGCATTATTGTCTCACGTGGTTTCCTGGGCACCGGTAGACACAATTTATAGGATTCTATTTTTTTGCCTTTGTGGCTACCGCCACACAGATAAGTGACAGTTTAATGAAGTAAACTTAAATTCTAGAAGAATTTTATAATTTTCAAAAGTAAAAATGTTGAAGCAGTACTTAGAGTACAAAAAACTTACCCATGTTTATATTCAGTTGAAAGCACACAGCAGGTTTGAGAACTTGAATAACTCATCTTTCTTATAGTTGCGTTTGCTAAGAATTACAAAATCTAAGCTCAGATCTTAATGACAAGAAGTTGCCAACCATATAAAGATCAGAGGAAAGGGAACAGTCAGTGCCAACACCCAAAGGCAGAAATGAGCTTGGCATGTTCCAGGGACAGAAATGGGGTCTGTATGGCTGGAGACGTGTAGGGGAGGGGAGGGTGGCAGGAGATAAGATCAAGAGCAATCTGAGGCCAGATCTTATTAGATTTTATGAGCCAGAAGAAGTAGTTTCTATTTTATTCTGAATGTGATAAAAATCCACCAGAGAAATTTTAAGCAGAGAAAGGGCTGTGGTCCTATTTCATTTTTTTTTTTTTTAAAGATTTTATTTATTTGGCACAGAGAGACATATCGAGAGAGGGAACACAAGCAGGGGGAGCGGGAGAGGGAGGAGCAGGCTTCCCACGGAGCAGGGAGCCCGATGCGGGGCTCGATCCCAGGACCCTGGGATCATGACCTGAGCCGAAGGCAGACACTTAACGACTGAGCCACCCAGGTGCCCCCTATTTCATTTTTAAGAGATCACTCTGGCTGCTGTAGGGAGGTAAGAGAGGAATCCTACTGACCCGTTCAGTGGCCACTGCAATGGTATAGACAAGTAAACATGATGGCTTGGATTGGTGTGGCAACAAGAGAAATGGAGAGAATGTGGCAATCTTGGGGAATTCTTGAAAGTAGTGTTGACTGAACTTGCTGATGGTTTGATGTCAAGTAAACAGTCTAGAGTTTGGCAGAGAAGCTGGGGTTGAGGTCATATGAAATTATAGATGACCATGGAAGATTGCCTTGGGAGTAATAGAGAGAGAGAAGAGTGCTGAATCACGGACACACCAACATTTAGAGGTTGGGAAGAGGATAGGACCTAGCAGAGACTATCAAGAAGGAGTGGCCAGTGAGGAAGGAGGGAATGTAAGAGAACAAGGTATCTCTGAAACCTGGGAAAGAATGTCATGGAAAAAGGAGTTTCAGTCGTATCTACTGTCTTAATCGCTTCTGGGAGGTCAAATAAGATATGACAGAGTGGCATTGGATTTAGCTACACAAAATTTATTAGTGACCTTTGCAAGAGCAGATGCATCAGAGTGGTGGGGGCAACAATCCAGAGGACGGATTGAGGAGAGAAAAAAAGCAGAGAAGCTGAGGGGGAAAAGAAAAGGCAATAGCTGAAGGAAGCTATGAAGACCAGAGAGGGTATTTGTTTTTTGAGACAGGAGATGTTTTATCATGTTGATGCTGAGGGAGTGTCTGTGAGAGAGCAGGAGGAAGGTTTGAGAAGCGATGGGACAGTAATTTTGGAACATTTTAGAGGAGCAAAGGAGGGTTGCTGAGTAACACTTACTACATCTGAGATTTATGACCATTAATTTAAATGATGCCAGACATCCTGGTGGGCTTTTTCATCAGATGTTTGGGTACAGGCATAGAGTAAGTAGACAGTGGGATTTAAACAGGGATAGAGCTTTGCCGGGTGAGTCCAAGGGGAGCTACGGAACTACGTGGTGCTTTCAACAGACAAGATTATATAGATTGTGGATCCTAAACTGGGTAAGGAAGGAACTGAAGACATGAGGGAGGTGACGGAGAGTGAAAAAGTGGTATAGTTACTGAACTGAAGGTCTTGGCAAGATGGAAGAACCACTGAGTTGTGGCATCAAAGTTGATAAGCCAAACCTGGGGTGCCTGAGGTTGAGCTCTCAGAGGAGGGACACTTCTGATGTTGACAAAGCCAAGGAGTGGGTGGTTGAGGATGATTGAAGGAAAAGGCATTGGAGGTGAGGAAGTAAAAACTGAGGAGGCCAACATAACAAATGGCCCAAAGTTTAACATAGTATTTGAGCAAAATTGATGGGAAAATGTGGCCATTTCAAAACATCTATTACTCAGGTAGTTTACTTTAAGTAGATGCAGACTCAGACCTGGTTTATTATCAGACTGAAGTTTGGTTCCAGGATTAGGATGAAGCTTTTAAAGAAGTAAGAATGATCAAGCGCATTTCTGTTCAAACAAACAAACAAACAAATAAGGAAAAACCCCAACC